ATGGTGGTTCAACATGGCGAACTCCATGAAAGGCAACCCGCGGCGTCTATACATAATAAAAGGTGACAAAAACATTTTTCAGTGAGGTGCTTATACACTACTGAAAACATTATACACTGGACCTTTCACCTTCATCTGTCTAGAGAGGCGGCCGTGGTTTAGGAGGTAGACATGAGATTGCTGGCGGTCTGATCCCCAGCTCCACCTCTGCATATTGAAGTGTCCTTGGACAAGTTGCTGAACCCCAAATCGCTCCTGATGCTGTGCAATCAGTGTGTGAGTGTGTGTGAGTGGGTGAATGTGACATGTAGCGTAAAGTACTTTAAGTGCTATAAAAGTGCAATCCATTTACCATTCAAGTAAAAAAAAAAATAAGGACTGGATTGAACTCATGGCTATTACAGTCTCATAGGTAGAAAATGAAATGTGGGGTAGTTTCTTCAGATGTATTAATGGTTGGTGTTAAAACTTCACATGACCGGATGACTGCGTATGCTTGATAAACTTCCAGAGACTTGACTTTAACTGCATGAGCTCTTACTTTATTGAAGATACTGCAGTAACATGTTACATGTCTTCAGTGATAGCTGGATGAATCCACACACACTAAGTTATTCTGCCTCCCACTCAGACAGTAATTTCATCACAATAGTAGTATTTGGCACTATATACTACAGTGTGGGATCATTAGAAAGCAATATGTAATAGAAAGCCTTTATGTATGTCACGTGGGATGTTGTATGTTGTGGCGAAGGGGAGGTATGCTGCAGTGTTTGCTCTCAGAAAAGTGTGTTTTGTACTGTAATGTCACAGGACAAGTCTCAAGTGTCATTTCAAGCATTAGGGTAAATCCAAGTAGTAAATCATGTACTTTCAAAAAAATATAGATAGATAGAGATAATAAGAAAGAGTCATACCATGAGAAATCAATACATACTGAGGATGAGAACTATTTCTTACTCGGTTAGTCCTTACTGAGTGAGGGTTTACTTTTGTTTTCCAAGAACCAGGGGAATAAAGAGAGAGGTTAGAAAAGATAAAATGTTAATAGGGTTTAATTCAGTAGTAGACGTCACAGTATCAGCTGTAGTAGTAACAGTAGTAGTAGTTTTGTATGACCGCTAACACCGAACCATGCCGTTCGTGTAGATAGGTGATTTATGGGATGGACACATAGGCCTAGCCTGCTTGTCTGCTTGGCACTTCAATAATTGATGCCCTCGCTTCATTGTCACCAAAAACTCATATCAAGAAAGGAGTGTCAGGCTCACCTTACTGATTAAGGCTGTGTGAAACTTTAATGTGCACCCCATCTTCAACTGATAACAAACTTGAAGTGCTCAAGCAAACGAGGTAATGGGGACGCCAGTGTCTGGATGCAAGGCGGGCAAATGCCGGTCATATTTTGACTCATTCCCAGTGTTTTGGAGCCTGGAGGTATCAGAAATGTTGCTACCTGATAGTCTGAACGGGGAGGAACGTCGTAAAAGATTTAACTGGCGTGTTAGGATGACTGAATGGGCTTTGTGAGCTCTGCGCAGGAACTCTATCCATAATGCAGGGGATGACAGCACTGCCACTGTTCCCCAACAAGCATTAGTCCTGAGCCTCTACTTATGATGTCTGCGTGCAGCTTCCCTTCATTAATGAATGATAGGCCGTGCTAGTATCAATGGCCACTCCTGAAACACACAAAATCTATTTCCACCCTGACTTGAGGCCTATTGTTTACATATAATTAATATACACATGGAGCTTTGTCTATTAACTAGACTAATGCAAGTTTGCAATTTGAACTAAAAAGCCACACCCTGCTTAAACCCCTGAGCAGCTGTTACATGTGCTGACTCACCCTCAGACTGAGTAATAGCTGTCGTGGAGATGTAGACAGGTACTTTGCAGACTTTTCCAAATGAGAAGGCACAATCAGATAAGATGGCGAGAGTCATCCAGGTCAAACTTACTTTGACTAGCTGAATAATAGAGGAAAACTGTGAGAGGACAACTAAAGAACGTTTGTGTCTGACTGGAGTTTGGCTGGTAAACACCTTACAACATCCATAAACGTTGGATAAGACACATACATAGAGTCAGCTATAAAGCACTTTCATAAGCTTAGATTAGACACACGGCGCCTTCAGAAACTCAGACAACATTACGTACAAGTGTCTGCACCTAAAAACATAGCTTATGGTAATAGTTTTTCATCAACAAACATCATCGACTTTCATCAACTACTGCTGTTTACATGTTATACAACGAGCAGGGTATACCTTTAATCTCTTTACAGCGGTACAAATAAATGTTAAACCAACAACACATATATACAGTATCAATGTCACCCAGGCTAGTTGTTTCCCCCTGTTTCCAGTCTTTGTGCTAAGCTAAGCTAATCCACTTCTGGTTTTAGGAATTTTTGTACAATTCTCTTATGTATTTTTGATTTTTTAACAATCATACATACTTAATAGGCTTCTTTATTTGACATATTCAGTGTTTTTCCCTGATACTTGACCATTGTCCTAAAGCTGTTTGGTGTTGGTGTTTTAACTGCAAACTTGGAAAGGACCCCATCTACAGCCAGTGTTTAGAAACATGGCGGCCTTCACAAAAAGGACCTGCTACAGATAAAAACAGCTCATTCTAAAGTATCGAAAACACAATCATTCTTATTTTCAGGTGATTATACACTGATGATACCAAAAGAGCCTCCTGAATTTTACTCCCTGTAAGTAAAGTATTTATTGCCGTCTGTCAGTTCACACTGTTTATCTCAGTCAGTGACCCAGAAAGACTGTACCGGAGTACAACAGCACCTACAAGACCTATGTCACCCCCCAACACCCCACCCCCACCCCCAGTGCTACATGCAACCTGACAGACTTCAGCTACCTTCTTCCTACATGATTTAAAGAACTTCTGTGAACTGTCAGGTTTCAGCTCCCTCTGTATAGTCTCAGTTTCTTGCTCAGGTAGTCTGGCCATCAGATCCGACTATTACCTCAGCAGAGCTGCCAGGTTGGACCCATTATCCCTCCCTCCCCTCCCCTCTCTCTTGTTAGACTCCAGCAAACAGTGAATTATTCAGGGTTAACAAGCTGTCGGAATGGCAAACGCAGTTCTGCATTTTCATTAAACCTGTCCTGAAACAGCATTAGACCGATTCCTCTGACAGAAAGGTGACAGAGAAGATGGTGACTGCAAGGGAGCCATGTGTGTCAAAGGAGAGCCCGGTATCAGGAAAAGTCACGGCCTCCTCAATTGTTTCCTGGTAAAGGATTGTGTTGCCTGACTTGATTGAGTCAAAAGATCTCTTGTGATTGTTAACGCTGGCTAGACTGAGCTAACTGATTTTGATTGGTGTAACAGGTTGACTGCGATAGGACATGAAGCAGTCAGATCTTAAAGGCTTTGTTTATGTATTTGTCCTTAACAGAGATATTAGGTAAAGCAGACAGAGTCACAAGGTACAAACCTCCACTGCAGCCCAGGGGCAAAGCTATATCATTTCTTAATGCTTTGGTAATATTGTCTGTGTTATATATTCAATTATTCATGGGGTGGCAAGAGGGTGGCAGAGATATATGTAGATTTAATTGCAAATAAATATCACATATATTAATATTATAATATAAAGTTATTTGAACTCTTAAACATTACAATTAGTGGCACATTAAATATCAGAATCTAATCTATTAGATTAAAAAATCAATAAATTGTTTTATTTCCAGATCTTCAGTCTCATTTTTAACTTAAGCCTATCAGTTAGTATAAAACGTCATTAATCATTAAATGATATGTGTTTATCTCTGTTGTTGCTTTAACATTCATCTAAATTAATTTGACAGCATTTGACACCAAACTGGAGTGGCAGCAGGGAGGTCAGGCATTTCTGCTGTGTTAGACTATCACTTATATTTCTGCTAATCTGTCTCTGAAGCTGAAGGTGACCAGTTACTGTTGACTCCACTTAATGGCACAGAGCTCTTGTATACTCACACATACACACAATGTAAAAAGTCACGCTAACATACACACATATAAACACATACATACATATTTGTATGACTGATTTTCAATTTATGGGATCTTTTATAAATAATATCCATAGATATGATGTGTTTTCTTTTTAAAAAGCCACCACTCGGATTGAAATGGACAACAACAAGAACATAATGTTCACTCTAATATATTATTCTTTGTCAAAGAAATTAAACAACTTATTAACTTCTTGCTAAAACTGCACGTGTGACATTGATTAATTGATTAATTTTGAACATGTTGGACATTGCTGAGCTAATTTTACAGCACATTGTGGAGAACCATGTTCCTGTTCGACTGCAAACATTTGTAATTTTGAATCTTCTGTCCTTATTGAATCGTGTAGGACTTTATATATACTGTCAGTGTGTAGAACAGAGAAATGCTGCAGCACTGCTCTCTACAGATGGAAATTTAAAAACAATATTGCACTCCACCCCATTGAGTGATGTCAGGTATGCTGCCTCGGTAGGAGCTGTAAAACCTCACAGTGTTTCCTCTTGTGTCAAAGAAAATTAATCTTGGATTACATTACATATGGTCAGCTGTACTGAAAGCAACTTGATCCAACGAGGATCAGACAAGAGAAACGTTAAAGGAACGACTGACACTGAATGCAAATAAAGTTATTTCAAGTTCACATATTAAACTGAACCTTTTTAGTATCACCATCAGTGAATCAGACTGTCTTAGTTTAGTTTAAGTTCATATCAGTATGACCAACTCCGCTGCTGACTGCTGACCTCCTGCATTGCGCTCATTAAATGTGAGAAAATATACTGTGGCGCCCTCTAGTGCTTTTGGGATGATACATGCAGAGAGAAATGTGGCGTATAATATGTATATTTACGTATGTGAATGTTAAAGATTTTAGCAGCACTGTGTGAATTTTAAAAACAATAAATAAAAAAAATTCAATTCAATTTTATTTGTATAGCACCAAATCATAACAGAAGTTATCTCAGGGCACTTTTCAAATTAGAGCCAGTTTAGACCGAACTCTTTAACATTTACAGGAGTTAACCCGATACAGTATCCACGCTGGAGGCTAAGCCGCACCTGGCTGATTGGGGGCAAAAAAAAACTGCCCTTCTTAACAGGCAGAAAACCTAGGACGCAGATTCCCTTCGGGTCTAGTGGTCATCTGCGCCGTCGAGCCGTTGGGGGGGGCCCGGCGCAAGGAGGAGCGAGAGAACGAGAGAGAAGAGAGAGAGATGCCAGAGAAGATGAGGAGAAAAGAGAGACCCAGACAGGATGTACAAAAACAAGTCCCCTACTATCTATATCTCAAAACAATGGATTTTAACCAGGCGGTTCCCAAAGCCTTGTCACGCCCATAATATATATATACATTATTAGATCCATAACAACAGTTTATTTAGGATGTCCCTATTTTCTGTCGTTTGTTGCTATCCAACTTCAAAAAATGGAAATTAATCATATTTCGGTTTCCTCATTTTTATAGGAACCCCCCTACAACCTACTCAAGGACCCCGGTCCCTGCACCCCAGTTTGTAGGCCCCGGCCCATTTCGGGGACTGCCCAGGAGGGGCCTTAGCAATGCTAAATGGAAAGATTGTCTAATTCCTCACAGTCAACACGCATGTGTCAGTGTCGACCTGGTAACAGTCTGCGTCTGCCACAAAGCTGCTGCTCTGAAATATAGCTACTGAATCTACTGAGTGAAGATTTAAATACAAATGTTATAATCATTTATTAAGAAAAGCTAAGAAAAGTTATTCAGAAATAGGTTTTTAAAGACTCTTGCAAAAGAGGGCGGCCTGGCCATTTGTTATTGGATATTTGATGGGGGGGGGGCCCATGGGGAAAAAGTTTAGCGTACCCCTCCCGTCACTTTCACCGGACGTGACGTCACCCTCGGCCTCTCTCCCTGCGTCACAGGGAGCGCCTGCCTGGCTGCTGCTGCTGCTGCCCTGTGACGTCCACTGCCCCCAGGAGGACCTCTGGTGCAGCCGGATTTTGTTTTAAGCTTGTTTCTCTCAGACAGTCTAGTAACTGCCCTCCGCCATGCCCCATGTACAGGTAAAGCCCTCTGTTGGGGCGGTCCCATAGTCAACCGACCTGCCCACCGTGCATGTACAAGTTACCGAATGTTCCACGCGCAGCCAGGGAACATTCTGCACCTCTGAGCACGCGCTTCAGGCTAACTCATTTCACCCGGTCGGAGTTGATTATTTTTTGTATTCACCATGTGTTGGCTCTCGCTTGTTTGGTCCCTCGCCGCCCCCGTTTTATGTCGTCTCACGCTTGCGTTCAGGACACGCGCATCGGAGGGTTTGTTAGCATTAGCCGCCTTTAGCCCGAGTAGCTAATTCATCTAGCAGGGCTAACTTGTATCCGAATACGAAGAGCTAAACTCACTTTCGGCTGATGCAACAATTACTACACTGGCCCACTGCTCCATTCATTAGAATGATTATTAAGCCACATTTAAATGGCACTATTACAGTCAGCCTGTCTCTCTCCCATTGCGTATTAATATATCATTAAATACATCAATGATGAACCGCAGAGGGAGACCCTTCACACTGGGTGGTGCTGGGACTAACTACATCTACTAGTACTGTACTGAAATTACAGCTTTTTAAGCGTGCTTTGTTTGCAGTATTTCCATGTCATGCCACTTTATTACATGCACTGCAGTTAATCTGACAGGCCTATAGTTACTCTTAAAATGACCACTCACACCTTAATGAACTATAAAATTTGTAACCCAATATAATTAGTTTTGGTGTAAAATATGATCCACCTCATCCAACCTACATCTGTCTACATGCTTGCTATACATACTCACTACTAATGGCATGGAAGATTAGATACTGAATAATTATAGTATAACAGTAAAACTATTGTTCTGCATTTACTTTGATACTTTGGTGGACATTTTGTTAGGTTATGTATTATCCTTAAGTATATTTTACTTGTAATGGAGTATTTTTTACAGGGGTGATATTGCTACTGGAGTATCTGCGAATTCCTTGGAACACTGCGCAGTACCTTCAAAGCTTGACATTCCATCTGGGGTAGACATTGTGGCCCAGAACTATAAGGGCGTAATACATACATAATATATACACACCGATCAGCCATTCATTATGAGCACTGGACAGGTGAAAGTGAATAACACTCATCTATCTGGTTATCATGGCTCCTGGTCAGTGGGTGGATATATATTAGTCAGCAAGCATTTTTGCCCTCAAAGTTGATGTGTTAGAAGCAGGAAAATGGCAGCGTGAGGATTTGGAGCGACTTCGACATGGGCACATTTGTGATGGCTAGACGACTGGGTCGAGCATCTCCAAACCTGCCAGCTCTTGTGTTCTAAAGTGGTCGAAGGAAGGAAGAAGCCAGGAAACGGGCCAAGTCCACTGCATGCACGTGGGGATGCGGGCTGGCCCGTGTGGTCCAATCCAACAGAAGAGCTACTGTAGCTCAAACTGTATATATATGTGATTGTACAAAACTGAAGCCGTATCTACATGAGGTCTAGTCTTCAAAAAGTCTCAATAAGTTGTCTTTCTTTGATCCTTCTTGTATGTGTGTGCATTTAATCTGTTCTCAGTACATGTTGCAGGATTGTGCTCAGATTAATCAATGCTCACACCGTCAAAATTCCCATTCGTGGTTTGATCCAAACTGAGCGGTTCTCTCTTTATCTCACCAGAATGGCGAGGTGGACCCAGCAGTCAAAGCTCTGGAGGCCCGACAGGATGAGATCATGAGGAAACTGTACGAGTTGAAAGCAGCCGTGGAGGGCCTGGCCAAGACGGTGACCACTCCAGATGCTGATCTGGACCTGACAGTCAGCAGCAGCCTCTCCTCCCAAAGCCTCAGCTCCACAACCTTCAAAGGCGCCGTCACAGACCTGGACACACTGCTGGGGAAGGTGAGGAACTGGGAACTGTACGTGTTTACTCTGGAGAAAGTGTTTGTTATTGACACACTGACAGTATGCTTCTATCAACAGACATGCTTCGGCTGCATTTTCTCTGTGGCAGTATCAGTCTATAGATGTTTCTCCTGATCACACCCATCATCCCTGCGGCTATTGCACGTTATAAATAGTTTGCTAACATGCACAACCAGCTGGAAGTTGTCTTGAAGCAGATATGAGGGTGTGGACTCATTAAGCCTGTTTGTGCAGGCTGCATTGGCCTTTGTTACAGCTGTCACATTTATTTTGGATGCTGCACCTATTGACCTCTTTCTTTAATCTTCTTTATTTATGTCACAAGGACCTCGGTGCTCTCCGTGACATCGTTATAAACGCCAATCCGGCGCAGCCACCCCTGTCCCTGATGGTGCTCCACAGCCTGTTGTGTCAGCGCTACCGGGTGCTCTCCACCGTCCATGTCCACTCCTCAGTTACCGGTGTGCCGCCACAGCTCCTGTCCTGCCTCGGTCCACGCCATGCGGACAGCTACGCCCGCCACATGTTCCAGCTGGGCTTCACCCTCATATGGAAAGATGGTAAGGCACAGCGAGAAAGGCAGCACGTGTTGACGAGGAGCGTACATTCACACAGCTGGCTTTACGTCAAAACCAATTGTGTATGCTAGTGCGATGCGGTCCTGATTCAAACACTTCTGACTAATTTGGATTTAATGTAGTTGTAGGTGGTTTGCTACCTTTCACCCTGGAAAAGTAATTACAAGAAACAATGAAATAAGAACAAACTGTAATCAGACATTTGAGCTAGGTGAGTTATTAAAGGGCCAGTGTTTAATATTCAGGAGGATCTGTTTGCAGAAATGGAATATAATATTCATAGGTATGTTTTCATCAGTGTATAATCAGCTGAATATAGGGATTGTGTTTTCTTTACCTTTTTAGAATGAGCTGTTTTTATCTACAGAGTCTGTGGTTTGCCATGTTGACTCACCATGTTTCTACAGTAGTCCAGAATGGACAAACCAAAGACTGGCTCTAGATAGTGCCGTTCACAGTTTTTGCTTGTTTTGTAGCCACCGTAGTTTCTCCTTTAGCTTGGAAGGGAAGGGGAGGGTGAAGCGAGAGAGTGACAATCTCCAAGAACACTGCTAGATGCCACTAAATCCTACACACTGGACCTTTTTTAAGAGGTTTATTTGAATATTGCCAGTAATTAAATTTTTAAGAACACAACTTATTCTGATGAGTGCTATTTCTAGTGTCATATTATCAATAATTGGCCATTTACAATCATTTGTAAATGCTTGAGCCCTTGTTTACCATTTCACGTTTGTCCTATTCACAGTCCCCAAACTGCAGATGAAGTTCAGTGTCCAGAACATGTGCCCCATTGAGGGCGAGGCCAACGTGGCGCGCTTCCTCTTCAAGCTGCTGGCTCCCTACCCCAGCGACCCTGCTCTCGCCACACTGGTGGACAGCTGGGTGGACACGGCTTTCTTCCAGCTGGCAGAGGGCAGTGCCAAGGAGCGGTCCGTCGTCCTGCGGGCACTCAACTCCGCTCTGGGCCGCAACCCCTGGCTGGCCGGGCCGGACCTCTCCCTGGCCGACATCGCCTGCTACTGTTGCGTGCTACAAAGTGGCTCGGCCTCCTCTGCTCCCACTAACGTCCAGCGATGGATCAAGTCCTGTGAGAACCTGGGTCACTTCAGCCCCGCCAAGCTACTTCTGCAGTGACAAGGATCGTCCCGGGACCGGACACCAGAAAGGGTGTCTTATCCAAGCAAAGTGAGAGAAGGGCATTAGAATATTAAACTATGCCAGCCATGTCTGGAACAGCTTCTAATGCTTCCCTCCTTACTATAGTATATCACTGAACTGACAAAGACTCAGTAGAGGCAATATGGTTGACCGATAAAAGTAAAAGTTGTCTTGGCCATGCTGCGTTTGTATAAAAAGAGATTCGAAGGCTATTTTTGCAAGGGAGGAAGCATGAGAGGACTGTAAAGACAGGGGCTTGGTGGTGGATTAAATCAAAGGTACTAACAGAAGTTGTTGGTCCAACACACTGTACACCTTCCACCCACTTTGTGCCTAACATGATCCAGTACTAAATGTGTGTGAGTGTTAATGTGTGGCAACGGGTATTACTAATACGTTTTCAGAAGTAATACTTTGTACCATTTGTTTTTCTGACATCATTAAAACTTCCACTTTGGATCAAACTTTAAACTGGGGCCTGGGGTTTGTTTCATTCAAAGACAAATAATCCTCATGCAACCTGAACAGGTTGGCATTTACTGAAGTGCACCTCTGTGTCCAACAGGTGGCAGGATTGTCATTTATACGTTAAAGATAATGTCAAAACTATCAAAGCTGCACCTCATCCCACCATACATGGAGTGGAAAGTAGGGAAACATTAAACAGTTGGTGCGGTCATGACAAAGCTAAGAAAAGAACTCACATCTTTGGAAAATCTCTACTCCACCTGGCTTGCGAAAAGAACAAGGAAGAAGCAATCATAGCCCGATGTAGTCCCTTATAACATCACACTGAGAGGGAAGTCTGCAGACCTCCTGGCTTTAATGTTTGCAATTTATATATCCAAAACACTCTTTAAAAGCAGGTCAAAGAGAAACCTTTACAATGCTGTTAAACTTCACACCTGAAATTTAATGTCTGGCATTATTGTCTTAAATTTTTTTACACTTGTTTGTGGATTTTAAATATAACATTTAATAGTTTCTGACCCTGTCTTCATTCAATGTGGAAGCACTGAAAAACAAGTAGAAATCCTGTATAAAAAAAGTGTATTTTAAACATTTTACTTACATGTTCTAATCTAATGGATACCCACCAATACTGTTTTCTAAATGTAATCAGAAAATTAGATGAAACTTAAAGAAGATGCTGAAGAAGAAATGTTGACATCTTTAAACAAGTTATTTTTATAGTTTTCATTTTTAAGTTTTGTTTTCAGTTTATTTTCCAGAGTGGGTCTGCTTATTGCAATTTAGTTATAAATAAATATTTAAAATGTTTAGTTTTAATTTCATTTTTAATATGGGGGTAAATTTGACCAAATTGACAAAGACTAAAACTGGACATTCCCTGTATATTTTTATTTTAGTTTTTTAAGTACACAATATCATTAGTTTTCTTTTTTTTCTCTAAAGTCTAGTTTTTATTTTAATTTAACTGAAATAAAAAACAGATTATTCCTAAAGCTGTAAAACATTTGGATCCACAATCTTTAAAAAGTACTTTCAACTTCGAATGTGAATGTCATCCAGCAGTTAGTGACTTATTTTTGTAACATAATTATTTCAGCTTTTTTTTCCATGAACCAAACTTCAATTCTTTATTTGTTTAATAGTTATTTTTGACTCCTAAAACCTGTAGCATTTTAAAATTTGCATCTAAAATTACAACTGAGTTCTGAACCGGTTGCTATGCTGTCAGGTTTTAAGGTTTTATTCTCTGCAGAAACCCTCTAGCTACACACATTTGCTGTGTTCTTCCTCTGCAATCAGATGTTCGAGCCGTGTTTGTCCTTATCAGCTGATGTGCTGTTGAATATAACCCCGATGCCCTGTCTGTCAAGCAGAATAGATTTTGAAGGGCAGTTTCAGAGCAGTCCACTGCTGGGCAGTCTTATCCCGCTGCCTGCTGCAGGCGAACTCAGAGAGATAACTAGAATATATATATTCATACATGCTATGATGTTGAAAAGTAGAAAAAGCAAATCCCAGAGCTTTTCATACTCTCTTGGGGTTGGTTTTGCATCTTCAGAAGTGTCATGTTTTCGACAGCTCGGGTCCAGACAGAGCCTGTGTATGAGTGTGTGTTTGTACGCTCTGACAGCCCCCAGTGGGTCCCCAGGCAGCTGCCTGACAAGACGAAAGCTCTTAACTGACATCTGGGCACATGGCAAGGAAAACCCCGGGGGCCGTGCAGCACTGGATATTTGGTCTTTGTGTGCTCTGTGTGTTATCCTCACACACAAACGCGCTTTTTTGAAACGGTTATCAGTATCTGTTCATCCAGTAAGGGCTTGCATGCAAATAAGGCAGCCTTTTTACCATACCATCACTGATCTAATTACTTTTGGTTTCCATTTGGTTGTCATGAAAAAGGCAAAACACAAGACAGGAAGAAAAAAAAAAAAAGCTCTTTCCTTGTCTCTTTATATATGATATAAAACATACAGACAGGAGATGCATTCTCATTGAAGAGCTGTAGAAAAAACAAACTAGCTTAACTGAAAGACAAAATCACTTCAGTTTCACCCTGTGGCTACTTCAAATCACAACAATAGCACGGATAGAAAGATGCTTTTGTCAGAATGGTCAGTCCTTGAATGCCATTGTCCATGATTGTCTATTAGATATTTCCATTAGGCCATTCAGGAGTGGTAGATATATATATATATATATATATCAAAACAGGTAGGGGAGGAATATTAGAAAACAGAAAACACATCTGGGCTAAACTGTCTGAAATGAGATAAAACTCAGGGTTTTCCTGTAATGATTTTAGCACAATATGGTTTGATTCTGCATCAATTCAAAGGCTGAGAAAGAGAGATAGAGAGAGAGTCACTGGGAATGTGTTCACTCAGTGACCGAAGTGCACACGTTGCTGTTGTATCTCAAAAGCTGAATGCGTTCAAAGTAGTCGTCGGTCAGAAAGTTTCTCTGTGAGGTGACCAGGTTGCCTTTCTGACTGAAGAGACGCTGGACGGGGGCTGTGGACGGCAGGGTGGTGTTGTATTTAAGGAAAAGCTGCTTCACTCTGGGGAAGTCCTGCAGACACTCGAGGCTCTTCCCCGTTCCTTCAACGTACTTGCGGATCTCGTCCATCACTCCCCGTTGCTGGATCTGAATGGCGGGCTTGACGGGCCCGTAGCTGAAGAAGTCGTCTTCAGATTTGATGGTCGACAGATTGCGGCTGGGGTTCGCCTCTGTCACGTTACAGGGGTCCACCTGGGAGGCCTCCGTGGCCAGCAGGGCGCACATCTCCTCCCTCTCGGAGGCCGCCATCCACCACAAACGAAACTGAGGAGTGGTTGCGGTCGCGATCTTCGCCTCCGTGCTGGCGAACAGCTCCTGGAACCGTACATCGATGGCCACCACGATGGCGCTGATGACATCGCCGAAGTAAGTGGCCGCGTCTTTCTGCTCATTTAACTTGTTCTTCAGACTGAGTACGGTCGGGATGACCAGCCCCAGGTAGCACTTCTGCTCCGCTTGGAAAAGTTCAAGTGCAAACGCGAGCGGGTGGAACACGGTCACGTACTCTTTGAGGAAGGCCATCTCCTCTGGCTGCATGCGTGGGACCTCCAGGCGGGCACACAGCTCGGTCAGCTCCCGCTCGGTGAGAGAGACGATCTTCTGCACCGCACAGTACTCCACGTTCCAGCGTATGACGGCGGGGACGACAAGAGCCATCTTCCCGATCTCCTCCGCCGCATCCATACCGACCTGAAGATGGTGGCACTTGCTCCAGATGGCGTACATCTTGGCCATCGCGCTGTAATGCAGCTGGCACATGGGCCCCTGCGACACAGCCTGCCAAAAGTCCTCGGTGACAATCAGCTCTAGGGTGTGAGACGCGCATCGCTGGACGGTGGGCAGAAACAGGAGCATGTCCTGCTCCGGCTCGCCCTCCAGCACTGCGCTGACGTTCTCGTAGAAGCCAATGTCATCGTCGTTTTCCGTGCTGTCCATCGCAAACTCTTTGAACACGCTCATAAAGGGGCTGCCGTTGTCAGTCACCGTGGTCTGCACTTTACTCTCGATGTTGTACGCCACGTGGATGTCGTGTATCCGTCCGGCAATGGTGTCGTACGTGATCCGGCCCTGCAGCCGCGCGAAGCCCAGAGCAGCAGACTTCCTCTCCAAAGAATCCGCGTCGATCCAGTGACAGGTCATCCCGAAGAAGCTTCTGTTGTTGGCCGTCCAGATGTCAGCCGTGGTGCACACGTACTGGATGTTGCTGAGTTTTGCCATCAGCTCTTCACGCATCCTGGAAAAACCCTGGTCCACCTTGGTAAACAAGGTCACTCTGTCCATGGACTTTAGCCCTTCAGTTAAGCCGGCAATCAGCTTCCTGAAGCCGGGCTGCTCTAGCACGTAAAACGATTGGCAGTCTTCCACAATGAAGTTGAAAATGAGATCATCAGTCTTTGCCTGGGTCATGCATTTGGAGATGATTTCTGCTTTAAGTTTTTTCAGCTGGCAGTGCCTACTTTCTTCCCCATTGTGCTCTTCTTTCTTCCGTCCCCTCTTGGCATCAGGCCTGGCTTCACAGCCCAAATGTGTTCTCTGAAAGACAAAACAAAAACAAAAAAACACACCAACAATGTCTCTGGTTACTTGTTGGAGGTGTGCCATTTGTATGTCCTGACTTTTCTAACAGTTTGAAAACTTCAACTGGGATGCAAATAACAAAAAAAAAGAACACTTTAATAACACATAATGATGAGATTTGTTTTCCAGAGGACTTGATCATGAAGAGCCTGCAGCGCCATGAGTTGGTAATCAGCATGCAGCTATAATGTAACGTCGATAATCACGAGGGGAAAGCTATTCATTCATTGACTCTTTCAAACATTAACCTGGCGGGTCCGGGAGATCAGCACAGGGGATATTACTTTCTGCAACTTACGTCTAAATGCTTCTTTAGGTTTGACGTGGAGGTTTTCGACGTGGAGAGCAGATTAACCCTCGGCAGACATAGATTACACTGGACGATGATATTTTTCCCTTGATCTGCCTTGTACGTGAAATGGTGGCGATAACGCCAAGTATGCATGGCCGATTTAGTCTCGCCGCAGGGTTCATGGTGATCCACATCCATTTCGGACGCTACCCCGACTGTTATTGACGTCTCGAAATATAATAAAAGTATCGTAATCCGATTTAGTAATCGTGATTACACGTAAAGTAACGATGGCGGTAGAGAAATCCTCATGAAAAGGGGCAGGCCTTTGTTCGGATGTTGGCCCAGAAAACAAACAAGGAGTCCACACAGTCGTCATTTTTTTCTTCAGCGCATGCGCGTTGATAGCCTGCGAGTGAATAGGCAGTGGAGCCGTACGCATGCGCGTCGCGCGCATGGGGGCGCAAGCGGCGTGACGTCACTGTCCGCTCCTTCTTACGGTTCTTACTCGCGTTTATGGAAGTACTTGTACCAGCGTTTCCTTTTCCTCCGAGTGTGGCAGCGAGTTTGGCGCCACCGTCAGGCCTGCGGAGGTAAAAAAAACAAACACAAAAGAAAATAGACGCCACAGCGTGTTAATTGATCCATTGTATCAAAAGCATCCAGTCGGATATAAAACACAACACAACACCTGAGCTGCAATTACAGAACAAAAGCCATACGGCGTAGTTTACTATTGAGTTTTTTTTATTTTTTTACTTACTGTAATATTGTGTTTTTTGTATTATACTATTGTATATTATGCGTCGGTATCAGGGTGGACAGCAAAGAAAAAATTTCATTGCACAGAGGAAAACATGCTTTCTTTTGTTGCATATGACAATAAACATCTTGAACTCTTGAACTTTTGAACTCTAGTTGGATGTTAGAAACACAGAAATAAGTAGTAAATTTACCATTGATTTACACAAATTAATCACTGATGTATATTTCAATTGCATGAAAAAAGGCTTAAAAACAATGTCTTTGTTTTAATATGCTCATTCTTCCAAATTAAAAGACACTACACCTTCTTAAACAGTTAATACATGGTGATTGCATTTGCACACAATATATAAAAGATAAAATGGTCAGATGTATGGTCAGAGTTTGACACTACAAGGATGTGTTTTCATTAGTTCTATGTGTTCGTCTTAAATCTGGAGATGTGGGAGGAGTAGGATTTTCTCACATCGCCACTAGTTTGGGAGCCAGCTGTGGTCCAGTGTGTAACTCACACAGGTGTGACGTGGACATTTGAAATGCACATTTACTGAGAATGGACTCCACAGGAGACGTCTGTATCTAAGATAAGCACAGGAGAATGTAGTGCAAATACAGAAGTGTAAAAGTACAATAAAGAATCACAAAATAAGAACATTATAAAATATAATAGAAAATATAAGACTATAATAAGAAAAAAATAACATTATATGAAATATAAAAAATGTTGTGCAAAAATATCTGATGTCTAGTAGATTACAACTCAATGAACAATATTGCAATATAGTTCTATTTTCAAACAAGGAAAGGAAGTAGCATGTAATTTCAAAGAATTCTGACAAAATAAACAGCATAAGTAAACATATTAGACACAAAACTGTTGTCCCAATCAGATTAAGTTCTGGAGGGGCATCCACTGAGAAAACAGGAGGAGAAACCAGTCCATGAAAGAAATGCGTAAAGAAGTAACAGAATTGGGCTAACCTCCCTATTTATTCCTGCTCAGAATACTTACATCCCATATAATGTGCCATTGTATTGTAAAGTATTGGGGCATATATTACCATTCAAGGTTTTGCTTATTCCTGAGGGCATTTTATGTTTGTCAGGAGAGTTGTTATCTCTGATGGTTCAATTTGTTTAAAAGCTGTTATCTGTGAGTTGTTATTGTGTAGCACACGTCATTTACAACAAAACAAAAAAATTGCCAATTCTTATTCTAGGTTGAGCTGCAGGGTGTAATCAACCATATTTCTACAGAAACCAGACTGGCAGCACCATCAAGTGTTGTTGCTTTTTAAAAATTATTATCAAGCCTGAGGCACCTTGCCAGATGAAGCCATCACCCGCTGGTTTGAAACCCTTCCATCTGGCTCAGTGATGCATTAAGCATGTCTTTAATCTGGTGTTCACATGGGCATGAATGGCATTTTTCATCCATGTTTAATAAACCAATTTGTCAGCCTCATGATCAAAGTCAGAAGAAAGCAAGGAAAGAGTTTGTTGTGTCACAGAAAGGCAAGTTCTGTAAGTTATTCACATGTTTTATGTATTTCTCACCAACCATATGCATCAAAGCAACAAGTGTC